GCGCTTCCAGGATTTCCATGGTGGTCTAGCTTTAATTGACTCATGAATTTAACTAAGAAATATAATTAATAAATACGATTTAAACAATATTATGACACAATGGTATGATCTATTTATCTGTTACATATCACTGAATCATAGTATCACATATGAGACATTAGAGAACGTTTTGCTTACGTTGTAACAGAAATGTAGATCGATATATTATAGGACATTCATAGGATTAATTAACAAAGCATTAAGCAATCCAATGAAGCGATCTTAACAGAATTTATAAGTTAAACTATCATTATGGAAATTCATGTTCTTTATGATCAAATAACTAGTTGATATTTAAACCAAGTAGTAAAATATAAAAGAAATATTGAAGTCCTTTTCAAAAATGTTGGCTAAATACACCTCAATATTTAGAAAAAAAAGTATGTCTATTTAGTTTTGCAATATATTTGTATTTAAATTGATATTATGAATGGATCAATGTCAGACCACCATTGAAGACGTGGAAGCACTGAACGGCCGTTTTGTGTTAGTATGGGACTCAGCAGTGCGCATTCACAGTGCTTCCAGGTTTTCAATGGTGGCTTGACATTGATCCATTGATGATATCAATTTAAACTCAACAATCTTCACAACCCTATATTGGTATTTGTATTTAATCATGATGGTTATAATGGTCATTACACGGCCTATTATTCAAAAAATACCAGTTAATATTTCAAGCTTAAATGTAATTGAAATGGATGTCTAACGTTTATCAATTTGGTGAAAAACTCTTTGGATTATAAATGCCTTGGATAAAAGATACCATTCGGTAGAATCCATTTAAATGTTTTAATTAAAAGACTTGTTTGATTACAGATGGTGAATAGATTTCAGCAGAAATGTTTTGTTTGCCTATCATGGATCACTAAATCCTATAGTGTATAGCTCTAAAGAGGTTTAAGTGTTCACCCTGTTAATCGGTACAAGATTATCAATACATGGGCTGCCGTTATTAATATTTAGTTTTGTCAAAACTAAACTTTATTTGTGTGAAATACATTACCAAACATAGAAATAGCTTATAATATTGTGGTGAACGAGAACAACATTATGGACAAGCAAATATATTTTAATGCAACATTATAGAATATCTTGGTGTAATCTGAGAACCATACAGTAAATACTTCACTAGGAAAATACTCATTAATCGTCTCAGACTTTGTTGTTCCTTCGTTTTCTCCTCTTAGATTTTCTTAACCCTCTGCCACCAGACATTCCACTTTTGATTAGTGGTATATACTACTTAAATCTGCTGACATCAGTAACACACACCACAATATTATTAATGAAGGTTTAAATGATCGCGTTGTCGATATTCAAGACTAAGGTTCAGTCAATCGTTTTGACATATATGCACTCTGTAAGGATTCCCTAAGTGTAATCATCATATCACAAGTTATCTAGAATAAATGGTTTGTAGCCAGATATTTTATCATATCTGAGATTTTTCAGGAAAATAACCTCTGACTACACTGAGTGTCGAACTCAGTACGTTTCGCTATAAACACCTAGAGTGTTATACATATAACTGTTGAATCCAGATAGTTCCTAACCGACTCAAATAGCATGACGTTTATATCATTATGAGTAAATGTTTAAGTTGTTTGGCTTCTGATATTGAAGATTGATTTTGATCATGAGGAATAAGTAAAAGTAATTTTTACTCTAGGGAATTTTTTAAAACTGAAGTAATTGTAGATTGACGAATGTATGGTTTAGAATATGTCAAATATGCTAGAGACTTTTCATTAGGATAAATACGGGAAAATGTAACAAACTTGAAGTCATCTGGATGTTCATGAAATAGAATAATTTTGGTACGTTAACATCGTATTCATTGTTGATGTTACTTTTATATCTAACTATCTAGTTAAATAGTCAAAATCAGTATTAAAATGGTTTATTCTAAAAGTAGCTTAACTGGGATGATTGTTTATGAATTTTATATCGAATGAGAACTCACAATCTCGCCTCCCCCCGCGAGACTCGAACACAGGAGTTACCGGTCTCGCGCCAGTCGCCTAACCAACTAGACCACTGAGCCGGCATCCAATGGTGTTAGTGTCTAACATCAACCAATCCACGAAATTGAGCGACCAACTTCCATTGTACTGAGGTAGATACCTGTCTCTACCCGACACGGATTAGCTCCACTGGTCACGGCTTCTCACTAGAACTCCGAGAATTCCCTCACGAAGCTAGTCACTAGTGAGCACATGTTAACTATCAGTATGGGGGTTGTGGAGATTGTTAAGTTTTTTGATTGAGATCATGAACTATTTGATGTTAGACCACCATTGGACAAGTATCTACCTCAGTACAATGGAAGTTGGTCGCTCAATTTCGTGGATTGGTTGATGTTAGACACTAACACCATTGGGTGCCGGCTCAGTGGTCTAGTTGGTTAAGCGCCTGGCGCGAGACCGATAATTCCTGGGTTCGAGTCTCGCGGGAAGCGGGATCGTGGGTGCGCACTGCTGAGGAGTCCCGTACTAGGACGAAACGGTCGTCCAGTTCTCCCAGGTTTCCAACGGTGGTGTAACATCAATTGGTTCACGATCTCAATCAAAAAAACTTAACAATCTCCACAACCCCCATACTGGAAAATTTACGGCACATTTTTCATGGTTACGTTCAGTTATCCTTGATACTCGTTATGAATCATTCACATGAAGATGAAAAGTACGTCTGTTCATAGAAGGTTCTATAATTTCTTTATTGTATCAGTTAACTTGGGAAAATTCCAAGCTGGATCAGAATAACTTAAGTATTACAATTTATCTATTTGGTTTATTTATTTACTTACACAAATTAAAAACTGATATCTTATTTCTCTGCATATTTTCAGATGCTTGTAAAGCAGTTGGTGAAACATGTGCAAAAACTATTTTTGACAGATGTTGCGATGGTACTGTATGTAAACTAAGTGCACCATTTTATGGAGAATGTGTAGAATGTTTAACTTCAGGAAATAGATGTTGGAAACATTCAGAATGTTGTTCAGGGTATTGTAATTGGTTTACATGTCGGGATTTATAAACATTATTGTTTGACCAATCAATATTTTGAAAGCGATCGGTTATTCTGAAAACTTTTTTTAAAGAATATAATTTGTAATGCATTATAACTTGTTTTTTTTCTGTAAAACATTTTGAGTTTGACAGTATACACTACTTATCAGTAACTTAAAATAAAAGTCAAAAGTTCTGTGGTTAATCATTGGGTGAGTAATTTGATTATTTTAATTGATCATTTCAGTAAGATAGTTTATGGGAGCTCATTTTGTTTTTGTTTTAGTTCAGAATAATCATTATGATAATTTACATTAAAAGGGGTTTTGTAGATATTATAGTAATTTTAGTAGTTGAGATCATCAATCAGCTGAAGCTAGACAACCATGGAAAACTTGGAAGCACTAGACGGCCGTTTCATTCCCATTGTGGGACTCCTCAGCAGTGCTCATCCACGATCTCGCCTCGCGAGATTCGAACCCAGGACCTACCGGTCTCGCGCGTGAACTCTTAACTTCTAGACTGATAATTGTCTAACTCTAAAGTCTTTATATTATATGTACTTGAAAAGTAGTTCTTTCCACTAACTGATGCTTCCCATTTTTCAATGGTGGTCCAACATTGATCCGTCCATGATAACTATCAAACTCAATCTTCACAACCCGAGACTGATTATTATGTTTGCTCATGCCGTGTATTTCATTGTGATATTTAGTTCATAAATTGCCTTTATTGGTTCAGTAGTCTCATGTAAATATTCATGTATATTCCGTTAAAGCCTGATAACGATCTAATTGAGAACACTATTGTTCGCTTATATATGTTGTTTTAGTACAGAAAATATGAAACTAAACGGAACAGGTTATAGATAGAAAATGGTGTGAAGTTTCTTGCTTTTGAGGCATACACATTTTGTCATTCCCATCAATATTAATAAAAGACAATATACGGAGATAGAATGATCATCATTTTAGATTGAGAAAAATCTATTTCACATTAAAGGTAAGTAAAGTCGAAGTTTGTTCGAGATATTCTGTTCATCGTAAACCTTTTGAAATGAACAGATATTAAGAGATTTACTTTTAACAATAAATAAGTTTACTTGAATAAGATTTATAATGGAATCTACTTACTGAGGTCTGTGATCGGCTTCCAATTAATTTAACTGTGATCTTTTCGATTCGTAGAGGTAAGAGTTTAAAGACTAACCAACCTAAACATATGTCCCATGTGATATTTTACTTAAAGGCAGTTATAGTGTTAAGTCTATGATTATCGACGAGAAATAGAAATTTGATCGTTTACTGTTGATTATGAATCATTTATCACAAGACTGGTACAGACAAGTCAAAAGAGTTTTAATTAATGTCAGGAAATTAGCTACAATGAGTTGCAAAAAAAAAACAGTGAAAGTTTTCTCTCATCTGGAATTAGTTTAATATTTCAGATGTCAGGGCTGTTTTTAAAATAAAAGTCAATATTACATTGAAAGTTAAGCCTATACAAAATCATCGGTTGATATTCATGTTGATTAGTGACTGCATAATAAGCATTGTCATGTTTATCTATTCTGAGTAGTTATATTGATCAAGTTATGATTTAGTCACTTGTCGAAGTGAGGCGATAACACATTCACAATACTTTACTGTTATTTTTTTGAAGCTAATGCTCTAGATATAATCTTGAAAGAGGAAGACAATTTAAGATTCAGTCCTATTCTTGGATCTTTCAGTAGTTATGCATTTTTACTTAAACATTTATTATTATTATTACAGTGTGATTTTAAGTGTTAAATATGATTACATTGTAACATATAACCATAAATGAACTCATTGTGGTTAAACAGGTTTTAAGAACATTTGAACTTATATATTTTTTGGTAGATTACTAGTCAATTTACTTGTATAAGAATATTCATCAATTGTGAATGAATGAATCAGTTTATATCTAATTTGTCATTATACATCGAAACCAACTACATAATTTTGTACAACATTCACTACTGGATAAGCACAAATGTTTCTCAGGTAAACATTTAACACAAACTCCTTTAAATAATCCATGTAGTTGACATGTGGAATTTGCACAACATGGTGAAAATATTGTTTTGGTACAATTTTCTCCTTCAGGTTTACAACGACCTATGAAGAAAAAAGAGAACGTAAATAATCAATATCAATGTTTAATTGCAATTTGCCTGATAAATCCATTAAATTATGAGTTTTTCGAAGGCTTTCTTCATTTTAAAATTAATGTTAATTACAGATTAACATTAGATGTAGATGTTGTGTAAGTTATAGGGGCATTCATCAATAGTTTCACTTCAGTTTATGGGTCATCAAAAACTTAGCAGTGAGGTTATAATTTACTAATGATATAACTCACTTTCAGATAACAAGTTGAATGAGATTAAACATATGAACTATTACATTTAGAACCAGAAATACAAATAAATCGTGTTCTTTCCTGAAATTGAATTTCTATGGTTCTGTTTTGTGTAGACTTCTAAAAAGTTTCAAACTAGGTATAAACAACTGTATAGTTATCACTGATTCCTGATAATATACCAGGTAATAAGTGTTATATTACTAATGTTTATTATTCTGATATACTTCACATAAATGCAATAGGGATTAGTTATGGCTGTGTAAATATACTTGGAAACTCTACCATTCATAACAGTATAAGAAGTATAACGAATCTAAGGTATGAAACATTTGATTTAAATACATTTTGTGCTAATGGAAAAATAAGTTGTTTCTGGACGTGATCAATGTGATTCTCTCTCATCAGACTTGCCAGATAAATGTTCCTATAACCATGTTTATATTTATAATAAAGCTCTAACTCAGTTTCCAATGCTTCAAATGTTGGAGTAATTCGTTAGGTTATTTGTTTTGGTGAAATGATATGCCATTAGATACTTATTCATTCAATATTAATTCACAACAAGGATAAAATACAAAATCTAAGAGAACTGATTGTTAGGTAAATACATTGTTCATCTTAAAGTTTTATAAAATGAAGTATTTTATTAGTCTTACATTCATTTTAAAGTTGAAAATTATGGTGATACTTTATTGTCCATTTTTTATGAAATTCGATAGTTTAATAAAACAGAGTTTTAATGTAAATGATAATTATCAGAGAGGGGTTTTGTGGAGATTTTAGTAATTTAATAGTTGAATTCATGAGTCAATTAAAGCTAGATCATCATGGAATACCTAGAAGCACTAGACGGTCCTTTTGTCTCAGTATGTGACTCACCAGCAAGGCTCATTCATGATCCCACCCCGAAGGATTCGAACCCAGGACCCCAGTGGTCTAGAGGTAAAGCGTTCGCACACGAGGACCGATAGGTTCTGGGTTACAAATGATGATGTTCAGAAATAAATTACATAATTTATTCCTTTGATATAATCCCCTTTAAGATTAATACAAACAGTTAATAAACCTTCAGTTAACAGGAAAGTTAATAGTTAATCGTAATAATTTTTGAGGTTGAGCATAAAAATTCCTGAATTGTTCAATCTTGTGTTGAGAAAAACATGAGTAAAACTGAATAGTACATCCTTGATATTTTGATATTAATAAGCTTACTTCCTGACTCGTTTCCTTGTCAAACTAATAAAAGGGAGTTAAGCATGGCTAGTAATTCACTAGCTTGTAGCATCATTATTCTACATAGACTAAAATGAGATTTCTTGATTTCACTAAACAATTTCAGTTTTCCATTTTATTCCTGGTAAAAACTTTAAAGAGCAAATTACATGTCAACACACATTGTAACATATATCGGTTAAGGTTAAATTGTAGTAGCTCTGTAATACTGATGTACTTTTCTATATTTGTTTTGTAGTTTTCATAATATCTCATTTACTAGGCTTGACAAACATTTCCACATGAACTAAGTTACCAGTTTGTGTAACCATAGCCATCCTTAGTATTATGCTAGAAGTTAGTTTAATGAAGTATTTGGATATTGAAGTATATTGAAAATACACACTTACCAATAGTCGACATTCGTTTTATTTACAAAATTTATGATTCAAATAACTTAGTTACACAGTTAGAACGCGTGAAAATGTTCACAAATGACTAATTACCTCCTTCGAGTTTCAAATGAATAACAGTATTTATCATGTATATTAGGTGTTACTAAGGTTACTGTAACGAGGATTATAGATGAAATATAATAAATGGTTGGAAAACTATTGCATAGTGATCGATCACTTTTAATAAACTATTTAAATTAACAGGTCACTTGTAACTGAATTATCTTAGTAACACCAACACTAAGTTAAAAGATGTGAATTTAAATCTTATGAAAGCGAAAATTCCCTCAAGATTGCAATTACACCTTGTGGACTACCAACTAATACAAGATGTTTCGCTTAATACAGATTCCTTAAAATCACATAAAGTAAAATAAAGTGTTTTGAAATTTCAGGTCACTAAGGCTGGTGGTCATGTAGCAACCTAACTCGATTGATTTTAAACATCAGTAGCAAACAAAACTAGATGATATTCATTACTAATGAGCGACCAATATGTGTAAATAATTAAATAAGTCTGGTGTTTATGTGCTTATTTTTTATTTCGTCTAACTTGAAGGTATCCTTCTTCTGGTGATTGATTGGATTAAGAAGACTTTCACATCTCAGAGGAAGCATGGAATACAGTGGACAGTTTGGATGCAACCAGACGATTTGGACTTCACAGATAACCTAGATCTCCTATCCCATACATATAAAAAAAACGCAGGTAGAAGCAGCCAGTGTAGCAGAAGCCTCTGCAGCTGTACATCTCAACATACACGAAGGAATAGCGAAATAGTCGAATACAACACAGAGAACGCGAACCCAACCACACTTTATGGAGGAACTTCGGAAGATGTGGAGTCTTTCACGTACCTAGGAAGCATCATCGATGAACGTAGAGGATCTGATGTAGACGTAAAGGCAAGGATTGGTAAATCAAGGGCCGCGTTCTTCTGAACGACATCATCAACACAAACCAGATAGAAGACGATAAAAGCTCCACGACCAAACCATCCAGCTCAGAGAACAAAACTTCATCAAAATCATTCACCTAAGCTACAAATCTTTTCCACCATCTCGTACTTGGATGTTGCATCGAACGATAATGATCAGTCATGGAACAACAAGAATATAAGCATCACTTACCTGTAAAAGCATCTAATTTCCAATACCATGTTAAGGTTAATAAAATTAAGAAACAACTGTGGTTGATCATAATATATTTTTGTTATAATTTATTTCTTATACAATGTGAAAATGTTTTTAAAGACTTGGGTATATGTATTGATAAGTTGGAATTATATAGTCCTATATGTTAAGGAAATGTAGTACACTTTTATATAATTTAAATAGACATGTAACTTACCATATTGAAAACTTTCTATTTCTACAAACACAATGGTAGCAATATACTATTCTATTATCCAGTAAATTAACAACATTACAATATGGGGGCGCATTTCGCTCTACTTGAATGAGAAAAGTCCCTCTAGTATAGTTCAAAGAAATGAAAGTAATTTTATTTGAATACGGGACAGTTCAATAAGATGAAAAAATACATTCCCGTTACAATCGTTTTCGCTTGGTTTGTAAAAAAATGTAAGACATTTGATGTAAAAAAATTTGTCGACTACTATATAGTTACGAAAGTAATAAAAGCCAGTTGTGTACAACTACATATAAAATAGTTGAGTGTTTCATAAAGAAATTTGTAAATTAGTTTCGTAACTTTGTTCTCATGCAATTGAATTATTCGAGTTATTCAGTTGTGAACCCACATACTAACTAAAACACTTGACGAACCAGTGAAATTCGAACTTAAAATAGGTTAATAAATACAAGTATCATGATTAACCTTAAACAAAGTGATAATAGTTCATATAATATAATGCTAAACATTCAACTTCTTTGTGAAAAATGAATGTCAGTTTGTGAATATTCATAACCTGTAGCTACAAACTTGGTTAAACAAGTTTTAATAGTTACCAGTCATAAGGAAAGTAGTACAAAGTATCAAGCGATACTAAGGCTATTTGTTTTAACCACGTTTTCTACATTAGGTGGTTTCACCGACTCATAAAGCAGTGTTAGACTTAGGTTTCGCGACAGTAGACATTCGCCATATACGAATTGTGATTTCCGTATGAGCATAACTTAGTATCAGTCAGTGGCGATGCCATGCTCTGTGACTCATCATATTATCTGACTACGTCATAATAACTAATATCATATCATCTAATCCTTAGCGTCAAGATGGAATGTCACAATCAGTTTATATGACATAGAATATTATCTGGAATCATAATCCTTTTTTTATAATAAAGATGCTTCGTGATGAAGTGGAATTATGATAAAGAAGCAGTTCATTATCTTCTTGTCTAATAAATTTAAATAAATCAAGAGCTAATGTTTCATTTATTTCTGTTCAATTACACACAAGTTATTATATTTAATTATTTCCAATTAATAGTATGTTGTCAGTATGGGATTGTGGAGATTATTGGATTTTATTAAAATCATGAGATTGAAGGTCTTGGATTGGATTCTCGGTTGCGGAATTGTGGATCCGCACTTCTGATGAGGAATCCCATGCTACTACGAAATGGCCATCGAGTGACTCATGGTTTTCGCGGTATTTGTCTAACTTAATTCGTAATTTCGATAATATTTGGATATTATTGAGAAATAAATTATCAATCAATCAGGACTATGTTGTATATAGTGCGAAAGAAACTTATGAACTAGAGTTTTAAAGGGGCTTTTTTTATTATTGCTTAAGGTGGTAATTCTATAATATTAAGACAATCTCATTATGTAACGTAAAATATTTTTAGACGAGAACATATGATAATGATAATTATTTGAAGAATGGAAGAGTTAAAATATCGGATTCATTTGTGTTGACAAGGAAGTTGAAGATTAGATAAAAGCCTAGATATGTACTGTTCATCATCATTTATTTTGTAGATAATTTCCATTTGGCTGGGTAGATAGAGGTTCTTTGGGTTTCTAGTGATAAAGATGACTTTTAAATCATCACTCATATGTCATACAACAAAAATGTGCTGACTTTAGAGTTGATTGTTTATGATCCATTATTCTGCCTTAGAAAATAAACTCTGAAATGCTAGTTATTTGAGGCAAACACTACTGCTGCCATATTTTGACTTAGTTAGAAATACAACTTTACTTCCAAGTGTTACATTAAAGGCTTTTAGTTCTATGGCTCTTTAGACGATCTATGCGGCCTTTTAGGACAGCAGGTAAAAACTATTCTAACAAATTCATCTTGCTTTGGTCATCACAAGCCTGACTTAGGTCAGGAGCCAAGGTGGAGTGACTAGTTGGGATCACCGAATTAAGTCATTACTTAGGTGGAATTTTATTGACATTTTAGTTCTCAACATAAATATCTTAAAAAAGTCAGAAATGTTTTCTTATAACGGATGAAATCTAATACTTTTAGTCAGATCCCATTGATTAATTTAATGGTCTAATATTTATGAGTATGTTATACAGAATAAATTGTGAAGATATGCCGATATGCTGCACGTTTAACCTTATACTGAACTCGTCGAATGTAACATGTGGGTTTTCTCTACCTAATATTTGCACATTCACTCACATTGAATTTATATTCATAATTGTCGATTGTTATAGGTGGTGACATCTGATATCCTCTAATCACAACTCGTTATTCGTGGTTGAGTTGAGGGAGGTAACATCCACAAAATTCAGTTCAGTAGGATGGAATTTATCATGTAATTTTTTTCTGTAATAAAGCGACTTTTTATATGTATCATATGACTTTCTATTAATTTTTGTACCAGCTTGTCAAAATTCCACCGAGAGAACCAACTTCCTCAAGTTTGTACACCATTATTTTTGGTAGGTACAAACTAGAACGGAACTCATGTTTAAGTCGTTATGTCGAATGCCTTCCGATGAATGATATCTAAGTTAAGAAATAAGAATGCCATTTTTCTATCTTTCATAATATGAAGAACATTAACAAATTGGATGACCTTATCATCAACGTTTATGGAGAATATTGCTTATTACATCTATCAAAAAAGGATAGTCATTAATGTTAAAGTATACATTTTATTAAATAAAATAAATCATTAGATAGTAAGTCATCATCATTACAATAAACAAAATGACAAGAGAAAATGAATTATGTTTAGTTTATTGTTCAACAGTACTCAAACATCTGAACCAACTGCATTGTTTTGAACAACATTCATCACCATTCCAACACCACGAAAATGGTTTAAGGCATTCCACACATTTACCAGAGAATGGCCCAGACAATTTACATACTGTATTATTACAGCATGGAGCAAATATAGTTTTTGTACAAACGCCATTCAATGGAATACAGTCACCTACAAAAATTTATATTCAAGGACAGGGAAATTAAAGAAGTTTGTGGTTGATAAAATAAAAAAAACTTTGTGTACAAAAGCTCGTTCAACTTACCAAATTGTGTATTGTAGTGTCGGTTATTATCTTAAGCCCATATACTTTATTCTAGCTTTCGGACAGGTCAATCTACTACTTCTACTTGAGTCATATTTTGACCATGTTATTATTATTATCAGCTTTATTCAATATTATATTTTTGGTACAATATAGAATTCTCAGCGCAAAGTATTTCAACAAGTTTCCGTTTCTTTCTTCTTGGTCGATCCTGGCGATAAATATTGAGTGATCACCAGCTAGATGTTAGTAGTTCAGTAAATGAACATCTGAATAATGTGCATTCTTTTCGTTGTATATTGCCAGCAACCACATTGTCTCTTAGTGAGTTTTTTGTAACTTTGACAACGAAAGGTTTTACACTTTTCAGAAACGCAGCAGAATAGGTTATGCGATTAATAAACATGATGATATATTAAAACAAACAAAAATAGATAACTTGTTGGAATATCTAGATGGCAGGAACAGGTAGCCCAGATGCTCAAGCAGGCCACCTTATCAGTCTTGACTGTTTTTATATGAGCATATGTGTGTGTGTTTACACTTCTCATCCCATTACTTATCACATTTCTGTTACTTATTTTTGTGTAACTATAACTATTAGTTAACGTTTGGTTAAATGGGAGTTGACTTACGAACCATCACCATTGCGCGTCGTTTTGCTTCTCTCTATTCTATTCACTTCATATACAAAATATATGTATTCAAAACTCCATTTTCGTTATTTGACTTATTTAATTCCGTTACTGACTAACGCGAATTAATTCGATGATTATATACGAGGATATATATATATACATTCGATAGAAATCATTCAATAACAATGATTCATACGATCTACTTGGAGTCAGATCTCGGGCCACTAAAGTGGAGATCCCGTCAACAAACATTTTCCGGTCTAAATGACGACAAAATAAAGGGCCCCACTAAAGTATATCCATATTACTTCATTTAAGATGGAGTGTGAGGTCTTTTTTTACCAAAATGAAGATAATAAGTCAGTGATAGATGTTTCATTTTAAGCTAGAGACTAAATGATATGCTTTTGTAACATATTGTCAATTTAATTAGGTAGGTTTTCTGCATGAATACTGATGAGAAACATCGTTACTTTTATAATTAATTTTGTTCTTATTTCGGTTTTAGTTAAGTATCGATTCAGTTAGCTCACTAATTGATTGATAGAGTTCATTGATCACTTAGGAGAATATAACATGAAATTGGTTACTACAAAAGGATAGATTAATTCAAATAACTTAGTACCATGACAGATCATTTACAATACATATAACTTAATATTAACATCTGTGATTGAGACGCAAAGTGATCTGGATTCAAATCCCACAGAGGTTAACAGTTTCCTGAACATATACCTAAATTTCTATCAGCTACTACTAACCAGCTGGAATTAAACAGTTTGGTCCTACTATTTCTATGAAAGCACATGTTTTTGAAACTTGATGGATTTTAAATTGAATCTGTACTCAAACTATGGGGTCTACATTGCTACTATTTAACCTAGTTTCACTGGTTATGTATCTCATATATATAATATATAAGATTTTCCTTATTTACCTAGAAAAAGATAAGTGAAGTTCCAGATCTTAAGGAGGTCCGATGACGATTTTCATAATTGTAACGCTAGTTAATTTCAAGTAGTTGAAATATTTAGTGCTCATTAGTACAAGACCAGATATAGATTGTTCAGGATCATATGTTTTTAGAGGCTTCTCTTTATCTCCATGGATATAAGTCCAAAATAGTCATTCCATAACCTTGAAATTCCCGGTGATGAGTATGAGTTTTACTACTCTACTTATTGGCAATTTATTTTCAACTTTTGCTTCAATCATTAATGATCAGTTAATAGCATAGTACATTGCTTTAAACCGAATCATTTGTATAAGGTGCAACAGTAAAAAAAAAGAAGAAAAGTCAATCACATACTGGTCATTCGTTAGGATTCGAACAAGATAGATGTATCTGTAAAACAACGATTAATTTTAAACGTATGTCATTTAGAGTACATAATTAATAATTTTTACTAAATTATCGACATTGGCGCGAAAAACAAACAGCTTCTCAGATGGATTATAGGCACATTTAGTGACTTCATTTATCAACCGAATATTCTCGTCTGATAACACTCGATTCAACGTAACTCTTTTTCATCTAACAACTTGCACTGAATAAAGGTAACCAGACATAGGCGGCAACTAGTTCAGACAATCGAGTAAAAATAATTTCATAGACTGTTAAACTGCTGTTACATACTTTTAAATCATGACATAGTTCATCATTTCTCGTCTATAGGCTTTATTACAAGCAGTTGTTTTCAGTAATAATTCTTTCCATACTTTAATACTAGATGCTGTTATCCACTGCTTTTCCACAAATCCTTTCCATTACATAAACTTCACTAAACAAGTATCGGTCATTTAGTAAAACTTAGTTCACTGTGATTGCTAATGAGGTAACAGTTTGAAACCTACCATTAGTTGATGAACAATTTAATTCTTACAAACAGATTTTAACTGACTGAAGTTATGTATGATTAAGAGATAATGAACTTTATACAAGAAATGTTTACAAAGTCAACAACTATGGTATCTAAGATTTATTAATCAATCAGTGTTTTTATATAATTCGGAAATATGAGAATCTCATTAGTTGTTTGATCTTCATTATCCAAGTAAGCCTGTTGTGTTTTAGAATCTTTTTTAGCAACAAATGTCTAGAAAGAACAAATGGAGCTGTATCTGTTTTGTTTTCACTGTATATTAGAATGGGTATTTTCACCATATTGAAATGTTTATCATTTGTAATTAGTGGGGCTATCAACAGATTTGATAACACTTTCATATCAATTTAAATAGTTAAAGTGTCAATATTTCAGGTGTCATGCAAAAAACAAATCTTACCTTTTGTTGATAGAATGTTCCAGATTATTACAAGGCTAATTGATAATGCTATCTGTGAATACAACATAATGGATGTTGAGAGTAAATGATTTACGAGTGTTTACTATTACTGTCTTTATATATATATATTACATGGTCAATGCGATTATAACAACAAAGAATAATTGGACAATGAAAATAAATGTTGATAAATATTTGGATTATTGTCTAATAAGTTAGTTTTGAAATGTATAGTATACAAATTCACTATTTGAACCAATGAAATTATTTGAATGATTACAATGATCAATAGTATTCTGTAAGTTGTTCTCTTCATATTGTATTGATCTCAGTTGGGATACCATAAAAACTAGGGAATATTAAGGAGAAGTACATTTATACATTACCCATCAATAATATTTGAGGTTGGTTGCATAATATCATGAATCGATCGAAGTTAGATATGTAAACTGTTGGATATAGACTTAATCGTTCAGAAGTCAAGTGCTCACTGAGAAATTTAGAAACCCTGGATTCAATCCCCTATGGAGTCACAAATCCATACTACTGAGGAGCCATGTACTCAGATAGAACAACTGTCTAGTGATTACTACTTTTTTTGGTTGCCCAAAAAGGTCATTTCTTGATATCAGTTACAAGACCACAGTCTGTTTAAATGACAAATACATATCATTATTTTATTATAAGTAATCATCGGTAACAAATGTATTGAGATACTTACTGAAATTGTTCTCAGTTCCAATTAAAAAACTTATTATTAAGTTAGATATTCGTTAGTAAGCTAAAGTATAAACAATAGAAAATGCCAAAAAATGATTTAGCCACTGTGGTTATGAATCAGTCAGTCTAAAACACATAATTCCATTAAATGTTAGCAATTAAAGTGAGTAAATTAGAGTGAGTAAACTTACACAGCTAACTTTCGATTTGTTTAGAACACATCTATCTGGGAAACTTTTGTTAGTCTTTCACAAAACATCTGAATTTATTGGTCTATTCAGATTGCAATGTTTCATGAGTTACTATTATAAGCAAGATTGGATTTGATTTTTTAATAAACTAAGTATGAATTAAATTCACTTGGTGTTGTTTTACCTGTATCTTCCCATTGTTATTTAGGACTGCAATTGATCAGTCTCATGTTGGCATATATGCATCCTGCGCGGATCGCCTCGATATAGCCTTAAGGATGATGGGTCCCAAATAGGACGGAACGCGCGTTCTGGATTCCACTGCTAGCCACTATTCATTTTTGCTTATAAGCATGAGTTAGTTTGGATTAATGCAAAACGGACAATGATAAAATGACATAATTTAGCGTATGGAGTTGTTTACATTATAAATGAAGTGTACAAGCGAAAGGTGAGTTGTCATAAACAGATCTAAGGATTTCGAAATTTTCGACAGTTAGTAAAACGATTCACTCAGTCTGATATAGACATGCTGTGATAGATTTATAAGCAAAGTTGGTTTTTCTTACAGAGTAATGTCAACTAAAGAACTAATAAAAACCGGAGACCAACACACAGTTGTTTTGTTCGATTGTTAGACTGCCCAATTTCAGTAAACTTGACGACTGTACTGATCGAGTTAGTGGTGACCGTTTTAAATTTAAACCACTGAGCCACATTACTACCTTTACTTAATTTACTTTCTTTACTAAACCCTTATAATCTTGATAATTTGACTTTTTCAATATCTATCTTAATACAAATTAATATGAATAATTTTGTGCTTGATAATCTTAATTATGTGAGGTTCTGTATCACATTGTAACATGTGAGTTTCTGATTTTCACTTAGGGTTAATCGACTGAAATTTGTCATTACTCAGAAATTTACTAAGCTTTGTTTAGTCTCACAGTCCGACGTCAACAACTACCTGACAGACAGATTTGACATGCTTTATCAGTGTTTGGTCTAATCAGTAATTTCTTTGTATTGTCAAGGAAATCGAACACGTATTAAATTGTTCAACGCTTTAAAATACCAATTATTTATCCAACTTAGCTTTCTTTAGTCTGTTGTCAATTTATTGATTGAGATCTTGAACCGATTGATGTTAGACCACCATTGAAAACCTGTAGGCACTGGACGGCCGTTTCGTCCTATTGTGGGACTCCTCAGCAGTGTGTATCCACTATCCCGCTCGTGGGATTTGAACCCAGGGCCTTCAGTCTCGCTCGCGAACGCTTAACCTACTTGTTAATTTAACGAATAGAAAGATATTATAAAACTGTGTTTTACATAAACTTCACGATAAATAAGTTAACCATCTAGTTAACAGACAGCAATCAATGGTTTCAGCCTTGTACGTTATACGTTTACATGATCATTAGTTGTTGAATTATTTTCACGTCACGGAACAATCATATATCACATTATACTTGATATTTAGTGAATTTATTTTGTTGATTGAACGAATATTGTAAACATAAACTATTTTATATAAAATATGTAAACATTTTTTTCCCAAAGTTGGTTTATCACGTGAAAATGTGATAGACAATGTAAACTGTTAAACAAATGAGTGAAGTATGTGTTGTTATAATTTATGTGAAAATATTGTCATTCTATGTTACATTACCACTACATTCATAGTATTTCAACATATGTTATTAGTACATTCGGATATGTGGAGAATGTAGAACATTCATATTTTAAATCACTAATTGATCTTAGCTAGATTACTATTGGAGACTAGAGAGCACTAAACCAACATTTAGGTCTCCTTAGTAGTGTATACCCAGTACCCCACAGCCGGAAATCGAACAAGGGAACTTCGGTCTCTAGTGCAAACGCTTGATCTGTAGACCACTGAGTCAGAATTCAGCGGTGCAGATATATAACCTCAATCAACTCATGATATTGTGCGACCATGTAAGATGGTGGTTTAAGACAGTTGACAGGAAACCCTGGATCTAGGTTTCGTGTTATTTGACAGTCGTGAGCAAGGTGTACGACCATCTTCCTTTACCTACAGTATATAACTGTCTCACACCCGACATGGCTGAACTCCCATATTTGGTCGAAACGGTGATCCCGTGTCTACGCGATTTCAGCGGTGGTCTGGTTCAGATCACGGTGACTGAATAAATGTAATTCATCACTAGAAGGCACTTGCACTGAATATCAACTGCTGAGAAGCTTTTATCAAAATACCACCTGTTTGAAGAGGCTGTTCCTAGTTCTACGAATCCTAAAGTTTCAACTAAAAAGAATGTCTTTGAAAGTTGTCTTGATATAAATTTATTTCTTAATTTATATTAAGCGACATATAACCCAGTGCAACTATTTACCTTGTCACATAAACACATAAGTTGTTAATCTAACAAGTTATACTATCTTCACGGGTTTTCAAACGTTACTCTCTCACTACATTGATTAGTTCATTGTGATATACACAATAATTCATTCAGGTTGTTTGTGTATTTAATACTTTAAATGTATATTCGAGAGATCTATTGATATTATCACTGCTAATAATCCAAGCTAAAGTGGAACATCTGGTTTGTATCATAACATCATTATTTGCTTATTTTCCACCATTCTTTAGTGATTATTTGATTTCATATTTAATCATGGGTATCTCCTCTTTTTTTAGACGAAGATATTTTAGTCCTCAAAAGGGAATTGTAGGACACTGCTTATATCAGTCATATTTTCTTTCAACAAGTTTTATGTCAAACTGCTAGTTGAACGCAAACAAATCACTTCCCTTCCTTAGAAAAACTTCAGATCTCATTCAGCTATAGATGATTGACCGATGATATAAAAATTAGCTTCTTTTGAATTCGATCAATCGCCATAGATTTTCGTTGCTCTTTTTAGAACTGTAGCGACTTTTGCTTAGCTGTTATATTCTGTGATTTATACATTATGAAAGCATGCATATAGTAGAGAGGGTTATTTTTACTTTTGACTCCGGTGATCTTTTGGTGTTTTAATCATTTTAAATAATTTATTGAAGCTACTAATTACATCAATTACATATTTACATTTCATATTACTGAATCTATTTAATAAAATCAGCCCACCAATGTTTGGTCTTCACTGTAATATGTATAAGTACATATAATTGCTGGTATCATGATGAATGAAGTCATGGTGTAGTAAACTAGAACTCAGGTAGGAAAAGCCAGTTTATTGTTTAATATTAAATTACACAGTGGCTTAGTAAAATATGAAAATCATACATTAAATACATCATTTGTGCATCTCTTTTGCATTGTCGTTTATATATTCCATTATTCCACTGATTCTGTTGTTATTTCAATTACTATCTGTTTTCCTTCCTGTTCTCTAAATTTCAATCTTCTGTTGCCAGGTATTCTACTTTCAATTGATGCTACACGCTACTTATATCTGTCAGCATAAATAGGATACACCACAATAGGATAACAGTTCGTTTTCATCTTTAGGGTTATATTATTCATTGAGACTTTATAATAAAAAGAATGTTAAAGACTAATTTGTACATATTTATCAATCAGACAACCATTATTAAATACAGAATGCATAGGTTTTAATCAAAATAAAGATCAAAAATTATAAATACTCAGTTCACGAGAAGTATTACTGTTATGTTAATGTACTGTTAGCGTTTCTGAACGGAGGTATACAAACATAGACTTGAAGAATCTTTTCTTGAACAGATTGGAGATTTTATAGTTTAAAGATTCCTCCTTAGTAGGATGAAGGCAGTCATTTAAATTCAGACTTATTTAACATCTGAATAGCTTACAGCGCCTTATTTTTCCGAAAGAAGTTTCACCTACTTACTGATCATTAAGTACATATGTAATGCTTATTTCATGACGAATATTTGATCTGTAAAACATCAACTGATGAATAAATTGCTAGTTTATTAAACTTATACATTCAAGATAACTGTACGAGGATTATTTGAAAATCGTCAAGGTTCATTTGCACTTGCTAGTGATATTTCGACCTTAAAGTAGTATAAATTCAGCGTAAAGGTACGATAATATTTCCTTTTCCTTATTTATGAAAATCTAGAAAAAGAATTCCAAGGTATAAAACTTTTTTTTCCTATCACACGATTATCTAACATTAAGATAGGATATGGAGTTTTGATGCTTAATGATACAGATGATTGTTGTGATCTGCCGATTCTAAGTTATACTGTGGGGTTATTTACTATAAAGGCATAGAATATTTCAAGTGATTGCATACAAAATAGTAGTTTACAGGGCAAGGCAGTTCTACAATGATCGTAATACAAAATGAATGATTTAAATTAATTGTTCCACAAATAAAAGCTCCATTCGGTTCATTTTGTAGTGTATATTCACATTTCCAGTATTTGGATAGTACATGGAATATAAGATATATAGGTTGTGGTAAACTTTAAGCTATATGTTATTAATTACATCATCTGGAAACTGTGTTTAAGGTTATCAACTAAGTGTATGGTTCCTTAAGAATGATTCACGTATTGAATTGCATAATAATATCAGAATTAAATGAGGAATTTTACTCAACCTTACTTCATTTAGTAAATTTATCTATGTGAACTTAATAGATCTTCCTGAACAAAAGTTTTAATTCTATCGCGTGGATACTCTTAGAATATGTAATACTTAAGTACACAAAAGAACTTCGGTTCGTTGAATGTTGATTAACTTTGCTTACTTTTTGAACAGATTACCGGGTTATTTAGTTTCAAGAAACAGAGAACCAAATCATTGTTTAATGTTAACTATATTTTAGGATACAAACATAAATTGAACTAAACCAGTATGTGGAACAACTTTAATTGTTATATGAATATTGACATAAAATAAATCTATAAATAATGAATATCAGTGATAAGCCAACAAGTTTATCTTAAAAATTCAATTACTAAGGTTATTCTAGTGAAATAAACTTAGATTAAAACAGCATTAAATTATAAACATTATTTTACAACTGATTGATCACTGTGTGGTGATCAATGTCATGTGGTCACATTGTAACTTGGTTGATAGGATTCGACCTGCACTAAGAACGACCTGACATACATGGCATTGATCACCACCCAGTGATCAATCAACTGTAAATATATATCAGTCCTACATGAGGTCAGTCGCGGCCTGGATAGCTCAGCGATAATGTCTCTGACTGTGGAGCTGGGTAGCAAGGGATCGAATCCGTCGAAGGGCACCGGTTCCCTCAAGATTACAGATACGCCTTGCTGATGAGTATCAAGTGGCATGAAGTCAAGGTCCGGGGTTTCCTGTTGACTACCTTCAACCACCATCTAATAAAAATTATTTTGTTTATTTCTAAATTAGAGAACTTCAAATTCTTGGTTTTAAATCCACTCAGGATATCATTAAAATCATTTAGAGCTATCTACATATGCCTTTTACGAACAAGCCACTGTTGTACATTCCAACTTGTTGTATAAAAAAGAACATTTATAATCCTTAGTAAAAATTGTGCTCTGATATGTAATAATTACCAAGTAAATATATGGAAACATAGCAGAAAATACTTGATATCGCATAGAGATTAAACATTGAAAGCAAAACTCACGGACATGTATTCTATCCATATGGAATATATCGTTTAGTTTTTAAAGTGAGAAGGAATCCAGGTCATTTAATATCTAATAAACTTTATTGAAAATTTGTTTAAACATACGTGATATTTTTATTTTTACTTAATTAATATAACACTTAAATAATGTTAAATGATCGTGAATGTGCACTGCTGAGGAGTCTCATACTAGGATGAAACGGCCGTCCAATGCTTATAGGTTTTCCATGGTGTTCTAGCTCCAATTGACTAATGAATTCAATTATTAGATTAAATGTAAACATTGAGAAATGGTTAATTGGTTTAATTCATGACTTGTAATGAAAATGAATCAATGAACCCATCTTTAGACCTACTGCCTACTATACATATATCTCATTCATATTAAACACTTATAATTATACATAAATCATTTAAGGAATTATCCACAATTTTGTGATAATGATCACAAAAGATTATTAAGTGCATCATGTTTATCATGTTGACTGCACTAATTAATTGACTAATTTTTTATTGAGATCATGAACCGATTGTCGGTAGACCACCATTGAAAACCTGGAAGCACTGAACGGCCATTTCGTCCTATTGTCAAACTCCTTAGCAGTGCGCATCCATGATCCCGCTCGCGGGACTCGGATCCAGGGCCTTCAGTCTCGCGCGTGAATGCTTAACCTAGACCACTGAGCAGCCATCCGATGGTGTTAATGTCTAACCTGACCCAATCCATGAAGTTACAGTACATGATAAACAACAGTATACTTTCTGATGTTACTTAGTATAAAAAAAATCCAAAATTCTGGTACACTGTGGTTAAACGACTAAACACCTAGCTAGAATGTTATCTGTTCACGTATCATTCAGCCAGTTTTTTATATAAAATAAATAAATATATTTAGCCTACAGGCTACAATTTAAAACTTATGTTTCATTCAAGTCATGAACTGATCAGTGTTAAACTATCAGTGAGAACCAGGAAACAGTAGACGGCTGCTTTGTTCTAGAATAAGAATCTTTAGTAATACACATCCGCTAATCTGAACATGAGATTCAAACCCTGGATCTTCAATCTCGCTCTCGAATGCTTAACCTTCAGACCGCTGAACCGTCATCTAATGGTGTTAATGTCTGACTTCAAAATATCCACGATGTCACACGACCATCTTCCAAGATTTTCGGTGAGTAACTTTAATCGTTTCATGATTTCAATGAAATTCAATAATTTCCACAACCTCAAACTCAAAGCTTATACTTGAATATTGGCTTGATTATTTACAGAAAACCAGTTGAAAGAACGTGAAGAGGGTAACTGTTGTGAATACTTTGTTGAATTTATAATTTAAATAATGGAATAATAGTGGTGATATTACTCCAAAATGCTAAATCAACAGATTAACATTTTTGATCTAAACTAGTGAATATCAAATCAATGACTAAATAATGTCATATTTGTTACAAGATCTAAATGTTTTGGATTAGATCCGTGGATTAGCAGTGGTAATTCTCAAATTTCGACGAAACAACGGACAATTTTCCTCTGATTTTAATTGATTTGCCAACTGGTAACAGCTTGTGATGTAACCGATATTTAAGTCTATATTCATTCTGTAGTAAATTGGAACACAAGTGGGGACAATCGAATGTATTGCTCACGCAATTACAGAGCATCTCACTAAAATCTGAGAACCATATAGGAACTCGTTAATTTGCAAAATATCAATCCAAGTCTCAAACTTGACTGTTTCATCTGCAAATTTCAGTCCATTGTCTCGGATTTCATTGTTCATTTATTTTCATCCTAATTGTGTTCTGTTTCCGTTCTTTCCTTATCGATCTTCTACTGAAATACATCCTATGCCTGACTACCTTTATATACTACTTATGAGGATATAAGTAACCCATACCACAATATATGTATAGAGTTATAAGGAATACTGATTCTTAGATAATGTTCTTTCTATGGTAACTAACTTCGGCTTTGATAAATTTATTATTTAGCATAGTAACATTTAGTTCTTAATGCATCACTGATTATTATTATTATTATACATATAAACGGTAAAATCTTTATTATGTTGTTTACAAATGTATTTTGACAGTCATCCCTACATTGAATGTAACTTAATTGTTGAATATTCATTAATAATTATGGAATGAATTCTGTGCATGTGACACATTGGATTTTTTATTTCCTGACACATTGGTTTTGTATATATATATATACATATGTGACGTTAGTAGCGGATGACATATAAATTTAAACCAGTATATTTCTCCTTATTATTGGTATTATATCATAACTGTTTGCATTTTCAACCATCATTATGAATCAGTTTTATCATGTAATATTAGTGGTAATTATTGTCATGTTTAGTCATTTCAATGTTGTATCAGGTAAGTCATAGTGATACAATCAAATGCTTTTTGATTATTTATAATGGAGATACATTTATATGTAGGTGGTTTTGATTTAACCTAGTGACCATTGAGAACCAAATAGCAATGAATATATCTATTGAATGTAGACTTCACAGAAGTGACCAATCCCAACCATTCCAGGGATAGAACTCAGTAACTCAACAAGACTCGTGTGGAGCACTTGACTAATAAGCCACCAAGTTGACATTTAACGATACACATTTCCCACCTCAGTCAAGTTCGATATAGTGTTTTGGCCAATAAATCCCGTAGGTAACCGCTATTTTATTGCTAATATGTCCGAACGCAGTTTGTCAACTTCCCAGTACAACTTCATAAATTAATCACTATGCAACATACCAGCGAACATATGACTTTAGTGTTAATGAGGGGGTTTTGTGGGAATCTGTTCAAATGTAGTATTCGTCACAGATTAATATTTGCAATTGGACGGATTTAGAGAATATCTTCTCATCTGACATCATATGTGAACATTTTACATGAACAAATAGTTCTATTGAGAAAGTCTCTTCTGATATCTGACTGAAATATAATCCGCTTAGTTAACATGTATGTAATTTATTACTTCTACAAATGCTTCAATTACTATTGGTAATAGTACTTTCTTGAATTTTATTAGGAATGTGCAATAGAACACTGAAATCATAGTATGGCCTAAATAACAACGTTTAGAGATTGATTTCTAGACTAGATTTTAAACAAAAATAAAATTATAAGCATGCATTCTATGATATTTTTCAATGAGTGTTTCTCATATATGGTGGAACATAAATAACTAAAAGTAAGAAACGATAAGTAGAGAGATGGCATTAACATCGAGCTAATTTTTCGAATTTTCAGTTGCATCCTGGATTCGAATCTCGTATGCGGAATCGTGGATGCGCAATGTTGAGGAGTCCTATACTAGAACGCCCAGTGTTTCCAGGTTTTCACTAGTGGTCTAGCATTGATAAATTCAAGATCCAAATCAAAATTTTCAGCATGTTCATCTATGTGGCTTGACGTTTACTGTGATTAATTAAACCTTAGACAATTATTATTAACTAAATAATATTAACTAGTTGACAGGTACTTTCCCTTCCTTAAATCACTGTTTTAACTTTCCTGGTAAACGTGACACTATGGTCTTTGTACGCAAAATAATTAGATGGATAAGCTTACCACCTTATTGTGTAAAAGAACCAACTATTACAAAACAGTTCTTTATATGTTAGTTGTGAATCGATAATTTCTCAAGTGCAATGTTAATATACTTTTAAAATTTGTTGTATTCATTGGGTTATTGTATGAAATGAGTATACTTTTGAACAATATCATAGGTGTTAGGATAGTTTTGAATGTTTAGTTCACGGATTCCAGCATTTAACTGTATTTATTAGTGAGATGATTAGTAGAAGTGTAAAAGAAAGTAATGTTACTCTAAATTTATAAACCTAATAAGCAATGTAAGTACAAATTACTAACTGTTCAAATGACATTATAGATGATAACGGCATGAATGCACCCATGGCAAATTTTAAATGTATAAAATCTGCTAATTTTCTAACACTACTGATAAAATATGAAAATTTACTTAGTTACCAGTAATCATATTGTTTACTAATAAGACATCGTTTACATTGGTTTTTTTTTTCAAAAAAAATATGCAAATTTTATTAGGCTGTTTCAGGAGATCATGAAAATTTCACATCATCAGTTTGTATTTGCATTTGTAATTTCAATAGTTGAGATCATAAGTCAGTTGAAGCTAGACCACCATGGAAAACGTGGAAGCACTGGACGGCCGTTTCGTTCTATTGTGTTATAATTAAAAGATTATTTTCAGTAGAATTACTCTTGTTCTTCTATCCAAGAGATCCATTCTTAATCCTCAAATGATAGACCTTCTTTGACAAAATTCTTATCGTGTATGTTAGAAGAAATGATTATATCTCTTCACTCTTAGTTCATTCATATTTACTGAAGTATAATTCTGTATAGATTTCTATGATTAAGAAATAATTTTTTGACATTGGTTAATGTCAACCGGAAAATCGTTAGAAATAAAAGAAGATTAATCATGGAGAAGGTGTTGAATATAGTTCACATTTGTGTGGAAATGTCTTGGATAAAATTTCGTGTTGTTCAATGAATTTACAGTTTAATTCTTTTATATACGTAGTAAAACTTTAAACAACAAAGTATAACAAACTGTAGGTATATAATTGAGATATTTTAGACTAGACTATGGAATGTTATTTTTATGGTAAACTTAGGTATAGAGTTATACAATCATATAATTAAATCACTTGAAGTATGTTAAATGATGCTTCTTTCAAACTAAACCGACTAACTTTTGTATCTAATTTCATTCTTTTTATACCTAATTGTCAAATGGTCTGTGTTTTTTTTTTGAAATTATCTTTTCAGGTGAATGTCGTACAATAGGACAAAATTGTTCCAAAACTGTGTTTTCTCCATGTTGTGAACAATTATATTGTGGTCTAAATACATTATTTACTGGTAAATGTCATCTATGCCTTGCAGGTGGATATTTCTGTTGGACTAGTCAAGAATGTTGTTCTGGAAAATGTAGTTGGCTTAAATGTACAGATCCAATAAAGGATGTTATTGAAAAGCTGACTGGTTAGAAAAAAAAACCCAATTATTATAAGTAGTATAAATGTTTCTTAGAATTCAGTTGTTCAGTTATTTTACTGAACTTTTCTATTTAACTTCTATTAACCTGCAATTATCAGTAATATATTATTCATTTTATGTTTTACGAGGGAATAAAATACACACTCTTCAATAGATAACCTATGATTATGTATGAAATTCAATTTGCTTCTATAAGTGATCATGTATTGTTGATTTGTTTTGTTTCTCTTCTTTCCGTTGTAAAAGTTTGTATGTTAGAAAGCTAAATACAGAGTTGTTTCCTTATATATTTCCTGTTTGTTTAACTAACTTATAACATAAATTATTTCATACTATCTGTGAAATATTTTTCTGTGATAGAAAACATATAGTTAGTGATTATCAGTATGGGGTTGTGAAGATTATTAAGTTTTTGTTTTAGATCATGAACCGATTGATTGTAGATCACCATTGAGAACCTGAAAACACTGAACGGCTATGGAACTCCATAGCAATGCGCATCCACGATCCCACTCGCGGGATTCGAACCCAGGGCCTTTGGTCTCGCACCCGAATGCTTAACCTTGAGGTCGCTGAGCCGGCATCCAACGGTGTTAATGTCTAATCTCAACCAATCCATGAAATTGCGATTATTGTGATTATTTTTAAACTGTATTCTATTTTTAAATCTTTATGTGACCTGATGTATTAGGAGTATTTAGATCTCACTAAATACTAATCTTTACAATGATAAAGTCACAAATAGATAGTATCTTTAATTAGATGCATATAGTTCAGGAATAATGAATATTCTTATTTATCAGGGCATAAATTTCAACATAAATGAAGTTCTGCTTAATTGTTACAATTATGTGAATTCGCAAGTATTCATATAAATGGTTTGTATTTTTACTAAAATACAAAGAGATTGTTTGAGGAGTATTTTTGTTGTTGTTGTTGCTGATATACGTTTATGGAATAAATAGAAGACATTAAATGAAATTAGACTCGTGAGCACCTCCCACTGTGGTTAAGCAAAGATGTAGTTAAAAACGGTTAACAGCTCCATTTTAGACCATCTAATTCAGACGGAACATACAGCCAACGTGGAGCAATCTTTCGCAATAATATATCGTGTTAACAGCAATTTACCTAATTCCGTCAGACAGAGAATCCTGCAGACGGCTGAAGCAATTGCTATTCGGATAAAAAAGCCAGAGCTTTGCATCCAAAAGAAATATGTTTAGTCGCCCCTTTTACCATGGCCAAATTCGAGGTCAACTAGTTAATAATCAATTTTATAATATTATTATCTTATTATTACTATCTTTACCACTATTATTATTATTATTGTTGTTATTATTATTATTACACTTGATAACCTTGTTGAGAAATTTATTCAACATCCATCCCTATCTACTATATCTGACCTAATTCATAATATTCTCTCTCTCACCCCATGTTGACCATATTTATTCTGATCATTATTTATCCCACAATTTCATTTCATTTATAAACTGATTCAAGTCAGCTCCAACATGAACGACTCGATTTGATTTGATTTGATATATGGCAAACAACAAACCTTGATTCACATATTACAATTTCCAAATGATGTACCCTGCCTTCAATCTGGTCAATTTTATGGATTAGTAATATGGATATGAGATAATTGTAGAAGCTCATGAGAAATTCATTGAAAGGAATATTCTTCATTCATATAATTTTGTTTCAGATATTGATTATTTCTCTTGACCTTTAGTTTGAAAGCAGTTGACATCTTTCCAATGCTATTCCGAAAACTACGATTTCCGGACTTGAATTTATTTCATCTCCGTTATTACTAAGTACTCTAAACTACATAATAAATACTGTAAATCCACCGAAAATGTTTTTAAGGTACTTTGTACGTCTATAAGTTATCAGAGAGTGAATTTATTGGACGTCAAGAAGCAGTAGAAACTTGTTTTTATTTTCGTCATAAATTTCTAAGCTGTGTACTCTGACGATATGCAGGCTTCCATTTTCTCAAAGAAATTGTTGCAATCGATGAATTGAATTGAGATTTTTATGGTATAAAGTCTTTTGTAAAATGAATCTCATGATATGATGCAACAGTTATATTGTATTATCAGTGCATGACTCTCTGGTACCCTATTGCTTCAAAATATTATGTCGTGGATTCATGTTATGACTTTCGAAAATCCATATTCATACTATTCAGTAGTGAGAGTAGAATTGGTACGATTATCAAGTGATGTTTTAAAGAACATTTTGGTACATTTCGAAAGTAATTTTCATTGCAAACATATATCAGTGTTCATAGTCTGAACCATGAACTTGTCTCAGAAGAACTACTCCTGGAAACCAAAAGGCATTTGACAGCTGTTTCGTCTTAGTATCGAGCTTCTCAGTTATGGGAATTCATGAACCCGCATCCAGGTAAGGGTTCAGAACCTTTGGTCTTGTACATCAACGCTTAACCACTAGACCACTGATTGAAACCGAAAAATTCTACAATCACCACAAAACTTTATGCTAATAATAATCATGTGCTCACTAATGACCAACATCTAAATGCAATCCCAGGATTTCTAGTGTGAGGCTGTAACCTTTAGGAATTTGACTCTTTCGGGCGTGAGACAATTACATACATAGAAAGCGGCCTCACAGTATCATGAATTGATTGAGGTTAAATATATACACCATTAGATCCTGACTCGGTGGTCTCGAGTTCAAGCATTCACGCATGAAATCGAATTTCCTGTGTTCGATTTCCGTATGCATGATCATGGATGTCTATTACTAAGGAGCTTCATCGTAGGACGGAACGGCTGCTCTATGCTTCCCTCACCCCATTTCGATAATAATACTTGGTTAATCTCTGAATATTATGCGGTACTAGATAACTATTTGATCCTACCGACTACAGATTAGAGCTAAGAAACTTTCTATTTGATATATACCTTCATATATTTTCCATACAACATTCAACAAACACTTTATCTAACCAAAATGTTGCCTATACAATGAAATGTTAATATATGGATCATACAATGTGGTTATATTTATTTCATCACTCAATTATTATCAGATATCATTCTAACGAACGTTCATATGTTACTTTTAAACAGTGTAATTGTAATATAAACATGATCATTACTAATGGCCATTGTTTTTTTAGTAACATAATTGTAGATATCAACTGAATTTTATTTATCTATCAGTTTGCATTAAAAAATAATGACCATTTTCAAATTATACTGTTTCATAATGTAAATAATTCTCTAAAGTGCATAATATATAAGTATTTCATAATATAACCAGTTGAATATATGTTGAATGTTAAAAACGGTGGCCAAATAGTTCAATCAGTTTGGATGATTATGTCAAAAATGAAAATTATCCTATGAGGTTTATGTTCCAGTTTATTACTTACTTACGCATGTGACCCCTCGAGGAGGGGCATAGACTAGCCACTAGCATTCTGCATTCAAATCTGTTCTGGGCAATCCTTTTCAGCTGTTTCCAGTTTCTATTCATTCTTCTAATGTCTGCTTCCAATTCCAGAAGCAGTGTGTTATTTGATCTTCTTCATTATCTTTTCCCTTCAGGATTCCATGTTAGCGCTTACCTCTTGATGTAGTTTGATTATTTCCGTAAGGTAATTCTCATCCACTTCCAACATCTTTTCCTTATCTCCTCTTCAGTTGGACGTTGGTTTATTCTCTCTCGTAGTAGGATGATTGATTGTATTTGGTCCATAACTTCTGGTCCGAAGCCGGGGTGGAAGGATGAGGGTTGGGCATAGAGTCAGCAATCTCATCTCTTAAAAATCAACTTTTCTAAAATTTCGCTAACCAGTTTCAGTTTATGGCATGATAATAATAATAATAATAATAATAATAATAACAACAACAACAATAATAGTAATAATATAGCTATGTAATAAGAAATGAGACGATATAAAGCTAGCATATTGGTGAAAAAATACTTGTGCTTCACAATTACAATAAACATTTATCTGTGTTTACATATTTGTGGAGATCTCTTCAATTTGGGAATAATCACCTAGTTCTTAATGAAGAACCGGGCAATCTAAAAAGTAACAGTATACTCGTTATTAACTAGTTCAAACATGGATTTCTTGGAGAGAAACTTATGAAATCAACTATGTATGGAGTGATTCACTTAACCATTGATGGTATTGGGTGATGTTGATACCTTATCATTACTACATCCTCTCTTAACTTTATCGGACATGAATAGTTTGGTATCGAACTTATATATTTGCATTGATTTATCCCAAAGTAATAACAATAATATATTTAATGTTTGATATACTATTTATATGGTGGATTTGTAAAGATTCTATAATCTTCACTTTCTAAAATTTACAAACTATCTAGTTATTAATATCAGATGGGTTTTTGTGGAGATTGTAGTAATTTCAATGGTTAAGATCATGAGTCAGTGGAGTTCAACCAGGTCTGTTGTGAGGTAGTAACTCACTGAAGACAATGGTGAATGTGTCGCTCAATTTCGTGGATTAGTTGAAGTTAGACATTAACACCATTGGATGCCGGCTCAGTGGTCTAGTGGTTAAGTGCTCGGGCGCGAAACCAGTAGGTCCTGGGTTCGAATCTTTCAGGGGGGCGAGGTCGTGGATGCGCACTGCCGGGGAGTCCCACAATAGAACAGAACGGCCGTCCAGTGCTTCCAGATTTTCCATGGTGGTCTAGCTTCAAGTGAATCATGATCTTAACCACTGAAATATCTAGTTATTGTTAAAATGCATAAATGGAGTCTTTGTATAACGAATTTATTTCATTTAAATGATTTCATTGTGTTTAATTTATATTTTGTCAAATAAAACATGACAACATAAAATAAATGTCAATGAAAGTGGAGGAAACGAAATCCCTGAATACTTACTTCATTGATTGTTCAGTTAATAATTGATTGAATATACAATTATGCCAACTTTTAATAGACCATTAATATATAAAAATCAATAGCTCATCAAATACATCACATCATTTCTGATAAGATTAGTATTGATTGTAACAATCAGATGCTAACCGTAGTATACAAGATTTTAACAGTTTACATCCCTGTTTCACTTTTATTAAAGTTAACCTTTTAGTTTAGAATAGTCATATACACTAAGAATTGTTGTGATTTTCATTATAAGTAATAGTTTTTCATGATGTTACATTTCAACGATCGTTGAATCGCCCCCCCATCGCGATTTAATATCTTCTTTAGAGCTAGGTCATTTATCCAAATCAATAATTGGGAATGTGTAGTTCTGATTCATGAAGGTATTCTTTTTTAATTATAGATCTCTGATGTTTAAGAAGTGAAAATAACAATCAAAACACTTTGTTGCTGAAACAAATGTATTTTTAATATCAGAAGGGGTTTTGTGGATAATACAGTAATTTCAAAGTTGCGATCATGAGCCAATTGAAGCTAGATCACCATCAAAAACCTAGTGGTTAACGGTTCGCGCGAGACTGTTAGGTCCTGGGTTCGAATCCCGCGAGGCGGGATCTTGGATACGCACTGCTGAGGAGTCCCACAGTAGGACGAAACTGCCGTCCAGTGCTTCCACGTTTTACATGGTGGTCCAGGTTCAATTGACTCGTGATCTCAACTATCGAAAATGCATTTTTAATTAGTATTTCAGTTTTTGTGAATTATTGATCATTCACTGTATTGACAATAATGCTAAATTACTTTACATTTTATCTGTCTTCAATTAGACAAGTGAAATTTTCTTTAAACTGTTCTCTTCATGCTAATTTGCTTAAAATCGTTTTTGCAAAATACCGTTTATATTTCGATTTTCAAACTTTTTACACTTCGAACGGTGACATCTTCCACTACAACAATCTTTATTTCTCCAACATGAACGATCAACTCGCAACCACGGTACACATTTACCCTTAGAACCATTTAACTGACACGTGGCATCACCACAACAACGATGAAATATAGTTCTACGACAAGAGTCACCAAGACGTTTACATTTGAATAAAACTGAAATAAGAAACCAGATATAAACTTCTAAATTGACTTAGAATATAGACTCAAACAACAATTTGATAATAGTTATGGGGATTATATTATAAGCACATTTCTGCGTAATTCATTCTTTGTAATACTTTTAGGAATAATGAAAAGGAAAGATCAATTGATTG